GGGGCTCCACATGTAGCAGGGACCCCCGCAGCAGCAGCCCACAGGCTTCTCAGAGGGAAGCTCTCTGGGTTGGATGTTTGGGGCCTCTAACCAGAACAGGTTCTGGAAGCCATAGTCTCTCACTCACTGGAGACCAGCCTCGCCAGTGTGAATCCTCGAAATGGTCCCTGTCCGCTCCTAGAGCACTGGTCATTTGGGATGAAAGGACCTCGGACTTGGAATTGCAGCCGATAAACACAATGTCCTTCTCTTGCGTGGGGACAATGACTCCAGGTCGGAGCGGTCACTGACCGCCTGCTGGGCACGTGGACGCTCCTCACACTGCGGGAAGCTTGGGCACCCGCGAGCCTCCCGCCCCACTCAGAGCGCACCCTTCACCTCTGCCTCACTGTCAGGACACCCAAGTGGCCGTGGGGAAGGAGCCGTTCAGGGGCGCACCGAGTCCCCGGGGAACACAAGACACTTCTCCAAGGATCCATCCCTTCCAGAAGCTTCCATTTGTTAAACTAAACAGCATTTAAGACAGCCTCTGAGGTTTCATCTCCTGGACGTCGTCCACTCACATGCTTTCTTTCGCTTGTCGGCAGACTTCCCTGACTTTGCCTCGCTGGTCTGCAGCTCCTTGCGTAGTCTGGAGATAAACCCCTGGTTCTCCATCTAGGGGACGCTGCACCCCAAGTACCGGTCTACCGACTTGGTTGATGGCGTTCTTCCTCGAAGAGAGCTTTTTCTCTTGTAGAAGCAGGCAAAGCTGTCCCCGTCTTGCTTTGCTTTAAGCCGATGGTTTCAAAAGCCCTCTCAAGCCCCATCTCCCTTCTCAAAACAGCCTCTTGGTGGATTCAGGGCTACTGAGAAATGAGGCTAACGACAGGTTTCCTGGCTTAGGTGTCAGGGGCCTCACTGAGCCTTCACATCCACGGGGAGGAGGCACTGCTCTCCTGTTTGGGGACACAGGGCGTAGAGGGATGAGCCCACCCACCAACACCAGAAAGGTTGAGTCCGCACGGGCCTGTGTGGTCACCACACCAGAGGTCTTTCTCCCCCAACACATATAGAGCCCGGTCCGTTCTGTCCCTGGGACCCAGCACACTAAGAATTACACTTAGTCCCAACTCAAAGTGGAAAGCTGCCCAGAGTAAAAAAGGAATTTGAGGGGCACCAGGGTGGCTCAGCGGATTGAGTGTCAAACTCTGGAGTTCAGCTCAAGTCGTGATCCCAGGGTTCTTGGATCGAGCTTCACCTTGGGCCCAGCATGGAGCAGGGGGGGGCGCCTAAGATTCTATCCCCTTTTCTGCCTCTGCCCCACACCCCCACTCACTCTGGACAAAAAAACAATCTGAATGGCCGCTCTATGTTCTCGTGGGTGGTCACAGGAGGGAAAACAGGATGAAGGCCCGAGTTTGGCAAATCCCACTTCCGGCTGAGATGCTCCACAGCCTTCAGTCATGTGCTCTTGGGTCCCCTTGCTCCAATCCTAACAAAGCCCCTCCCAACCGGCAGAGCCCCAGCTAGGAAGCACCATCACAATCCTCCCTGCTGAAATGTGCTTCCCAGCAGCAAAGGCAAAAATGGCCCATCTGCCAGTCGAAATACTATTCTCCCATTCCAAAATTAAGCCCTTCCAAATTCCTAAGCTTCTAAAGTCTAGTTAACTGTTACTTCCCTGAGCCAACCTGCAAACGATAGACAAGTTTGAAAATCTGAAAAAACTGAAGACTGAGGCATGCCATTAGAAGAACCAGACCTGTGACTGAATCCAAGGATTTACAGATGAAGGCTCGTTAGCCTCCTTCACACCTAAGACTAGTTCCTTGGTTCAGTAACCCAAATGTTTCATGGATTCCGTGGCCGCTTCACTGAAACTGGTGGAAAAAAAGCAACCCCCAAGCCCACGATCAAGGAACCTGCCCCTTAGGCCTCCAAGTGCTTCCCAAGTACCTGCAACACCGTTTTCCCCACAGCCACTTGCAGAGTTCTCCTGCACAGGATCCTTCACGCAAAAGCCCCCAAACAGGAGGGCAGGGGACCCCAAATCCCAAGCTGCTGTGTGCTGGGCTGTTCACTAGACCTTATTAAAATACTCCCAACTCCTGGTCTGCAGGAAACCAAGCTGCTGCCCAATTTCAGCCAGTTCTCCCAAACCACCCGCCC